GGAGTTTAGCGCAGTGATTCAAAGTAACTGTTGCGCCCTGACACGCCTGAATCGTTCGAAACACCATTTCTGGTACGTTGGCCATGGGAATCCGTGACGCTCTTGCAGTTGGTTAAGACGAAGGTGCGCGGCGCTAAAGCGGCAGCCACATTTTGGAAACGAACCGTCCTTGATCCGCGAAGCTCTTGCATTTTTCTAAGGTGGCTGTGCGCGGCGGGCTAGGGCGAGAGCCGCATTTTGAAAACGACACGCCCTCTACCCGTGAAACTCTTTCATCTTTTAAGACGTCTGTGCGCGGCGCTACGGCGAGAACCACATTTTGAAAACGACCCGCTCTCCACCCGTGAACCTCCTGCAACTTTTAACAATATGTGCACGGCGCTGAAGCGAGAGCCGCATTTTGAAAACAACATGCCCTCTATCCGTGAAGCTCTTTCAATTTTTTCAGATTCAGACGACTGTGCGCGGCGCTTAGGCGAGAGACACATATTGAAAATGGCCCGGCCTCCATCCGTGAAGCTCTTGCAACTTTTTGAGACAGATGTGCGCGGCGCAACGGCGAGAGCCACATTTTGAAAACGACCCGCCTTCTATCCGTGAAGCTTTTGTTGCAAATTGCTAGAACGACTGCGCGCGGCGCTAAGGCGAGAGCCATATTTTGAAAACGGCCCGTCCTCCACCTGTGGAACGGTTGTCATTTTTTCAGCATCAGGGTCATACGTGGCGAGGAAGTCTCAGGCGAAATGCTTGGCCCGCACTTTCGATCAGCCTCGGGGTGTGACAGAGAGCAGTTATTCATAAGGAAAAGGAGTGGAGGAGGAGGAGGAGAAGGAAAAGGAGGAGGAGGAGGAGGAGGAGGAGGGGGAGAAGGACGATGAGGAGAGGAGGAGCAGCAGAAGGAGGAGCAGAAGTAGGAGAATGAGGAGGTGGAGGGGGAGGATTGACCATTTACGCTGGAATCACGTTTTTGGTGCCACGTCCCCCTTCCACGGCAAACGTGGTTTTAGAGGGGGACCCTCCGAAGGCATATTCGTCACCTCGTACATGGCCGCCGCGCCGCTCCTGAGGAAGCGCCTCCAGGACCGCCCCGCGACGCGAGGTCGGGCCGAGACGGGGCTGCAGTCGGGCCGCAGTGCAGCCAGCAAACCAGGGGAGGGCGGAGGGTGGATGGATTAGGGAGGAGGAGCAGGAAGATGAGGAAAAGGAGGAGGAGGCGGAGGAGGAGGATCAGTGTAAACCAAAGACTCATCAACGATGTTGAAATACACCCTCCCTCCAAGATCCTTCTTCGCAGGCCCCTGCAAGGTGTCATTTCCACTGAGGGAATTGCCCCGTCGGGGGACAACCGTGTCTGCATCTCGAAGCGTGCCAGAAGTCATTCTCAGGACTTCAACAACGCCACGAGTCAACCTGACTCTTCGTCTTAGCGATCCTGAATCGTGCCAGAACGCCTTGGCCCTGCTTTAACTACCCCTTGGCCTCCCTCATCACTTCCAGCATGTCGCGCATCTCGAAAGCAAGGAGGTCGTCGAACTCTTCCAGGTTGCGTTTCACGCTGTTGCGCAAGAACTTCTGAAGGCACGCGCCCGCCCAAGGAGTGATGTAGGCTTCCAAGAGAGGAAGCTTCTCCGCGGCCGCGACCGTTCCCGCTGGACGGAAGTAAACGTTGAACGTTGCAACGTTGGAGCGTTGGAGCATCGCGCCGATGTCGTTGAGAGAAAGGTTATTCGGGAACGCGGGCTTAACCATCCTCGCCAAGCAGACAGCGTTGCGGAACTCCTCGTCCTCAGAGGTTGCGGCGAAGTGCCGGTCAGTCTGGTTCGGCTCGGCATCGGCGTTGTTCCCGCCATCGCCACCGAGCCGAGGGTGGTTCCCTAGAATTTAGCTTCGCCCCATCGCGCGTAGACGTTCGATTCGACTTTCGGCGGGTCGAGAATCGCCCTTCTCGCGCGCGGTCGCCTGTCAGCCAGGTCGCCGTCGCCGAACGCGCAGGGCACCCAAGTCTCGCCAACGTTCGTGATGCTCCGAAGCAGCATCAACATGGCGCTTCCGAGCCAGACGCGGCAGGGCGGTGGCTATTCGAGTAGGGGATCGACTACAAAATTGATTTGCCCCAGAATTGTTTCTCAGTCGAATCTTCGGAAAATACGTCGGAATCCCCGTAGATCTATCGAGCATTCGATGTTTTTTGTCCAAATAGGCTTGCCCTATAGGAGTTCTAGCTCATCATAAGTAATTGGTCTTTAGGCCTCCCCCCTTTTTCCAATGGCACCCCCCCGTATTTCCAAGCACCCCCCTCCCCCCCTCCCCTTTTGCCAATGGCCCCCCCCCTTGTTTCCAATGGCACCCCCCAGCTATTTCCAATGGCGAGTCCTATGGATTCCTATGGATTCCTAAGAGTCGTGTGGATCCTACGGATTTCTATGGATGCCTATGCCTATGCCAATGCCAATGCCAAGGCCTATGCCTATGCCTATGCCAATGCGTATGCCAATGCCAAAATAATGCGATGCAATACGAAGCAATACCATGCAACGTTCAGGCATGAGAAGCACCTCCATGCAATGCAAAGCAAGGCAACGCAATGCCAAACAATGCCAAGCAATGCAAGCAACTTGCCAAGCCTTTCACCGCCATGCTCTGCAATGCAAAGCAATGTCAAGCAATGCCAATCCACGCCCTCTTCCATACCAAGACGACCGGCGAGCCTCCCCTGATTTGCCCAAGCTTACTCCTATTGCTCTCCGTACTTGCATGGCTGCTAGCTTCTTTTTGCTCGCTTCTTTTTGCTCGCTTCTTTTTGCTTGCCATTTCATGCTTGGCTTCCCCTCCTCCCGTCCTTTCCTCCTCGTCTTCTCCTTCTCTCGCTCTTCTCCTGTCCATCTATCTATTTGGAGTCAACGCTGGCTGATATTTCGTGGATTCGACGATCATCAGTTTTGGGGTAACGCAATTCTGTAGACCATCTCCTACTCGAGCTATATCTCCTTCAGGTCCCTCGGATCTCCCCCTTGACGCGGTCCATTTCGCAGGCCGCGCGAACGGTTTGAGAGGCAATCTTGCGTTCGCGCTGCCGCTTCGCGCAGTCGGCGTGGTCCATGGCCAATGCCATGGCCATGATGTACATTACACGTGTCTTCCCAAACTTGGCCTCGCCAGTCAGGAGGAGGGTGCTGCCGAGACGTGTGCGGATGATCCTGTCGACCGCTTGCTGTATCTTGGGCGCACGCCTCCATTCAGCAAATGGTAGTAAGTTTCCTTCGCAGCGAAGTGGTCGGGGTCCGATCTGGGGCACCTTGTTGACGTACTCCTTTCTCGCGTTGGCGAGATGGGGGTGGTCGACGTGCTCTTGGTGCACCCGCAGCAGCTGCCCACCGCTCCTTCTGCTTCTGCGCCACTTCGCCCCGCCGACAGGCGCATTCGGCGAACCTGGACGCTCAAACCTCCAATAGAGACACATACTGCCGCCAATCCGCTCGAGCATTATCTGGTACTTGCGCAAGCTATTGGACCTATCTGGCGTTACATCGATCACGCAAGGGCCGCCTTGGATGAGATTGCCCTGGATGTCGCGCATGGGGGGCCACCCCTGTCGAGGAACGCGAAGTGCTTTACGATGATGAGCTTTTCTGGGTTTGAGGAGCGCTTGTGAATAAGGATGTTGAGCGTGCACGGCAGCTCGTCCTCACTGCCGTTGTAGCTGGGAGTGGACCGCAAGTCCTTATACGTGCCTTCAACCGTGATCGGTTTCACGCCATCCCATGCCAATGTCCCCATCCCGGGCACATCAGTGATCACATCGACAATGCATTTGGTGTACAGTCTTGCGCTGAGCTCCACTGCTTGCTGGGCAGGTCGAACAGCAATGCGGAACCGACGGGGTCGCGGCTCAAGTCGCCGACAACGTCGAGTTCGCCGAGGACGGCGGCCTTATCCTTGGTTTTGGCATGATTCCACATCTCTGTGCGCTTGTCGTTTGTGTGGTTGGGCCTTTTCAGCCGCAAATCCAAACTTTTCATTTCCTGCGCTGGCACATACGGCGCCCCAACCACCGCCTTGGGGGCCAGGGCGAGAAGGGTAGCGGAGCGCAGTGGCCGCACAGGCGAGATCTCGAGCTGGCGCAGAGCTGTGGGTAACAGCACCAGCACGAGATGGTGTAAGGTTGTGATCGACGATCAATGGAGAGGAAGCATGTTGCCGAACAATTTCCAGATGTCTAAGACATGTTTCAAACATGTTTAAACATGCGAGACATTTTTTTAGAACATATTTCAGACATTCCAAACAACTTTTGAATTCAATGGTATGATTGATTGTTATGGTGTCCATTCTCATGGCATCCACAAGCGTACTGATGGGGCATCCGAGATTCGAATCCCCCCAGCAGCCCGTCCACTTCAAGGCGCCTCGTGGCTTCTGCCTCTGCCCCGCTGCACCTGCCCTCCTCTGTGCGTGTGTGTGTGTGTGTGTCACAGAGGGAAAGTTGTCAGAAGATGGCAAGTCTTCGCAGGCTGCCCGAAGACCGAGTGCACGCTCGATCCGACTCCCAGCTCTGGGGGGTCGCCAGGGGGGGGGGAGCATGTATGTGTATGTATGCATGCATGCATATATCTGTACACATCCACACACGCATGTATCTGTATGCATCCGTGTATACATGTGCATGCATGCACGAATTCGCATATGTGCATAACTTATTGCACATGTTTATGCTTGCGCACATATATAGGTATATCAGTATCGGTGCATCGCTGCAAACATTTGCGCATCCTTATACATGTCCGCATCGAGAGTGCAATGGCCGTTCGTTTTGTGTCCGCGCTCTCAAGCATGTTTTCTAGTTCGCGCTGCCTTTCTGATTCGCATGATACTCACATGGCTCCTTGACCGTGTTTCTGTCCTCTTCGCCCCCCCTCCTCGCCCCCCCCCCTTCCCTGCAACTTTTATTTGTTCTGCGCGCAATGCTGCCGCAGGAGAGACACCCCCATCTGTCGGAGGGCATGGCTGTGGCCGCGTCTGCCAGCCTCGACGGCCTCGCCACTCCGCCAGCAACCTACGCGTTTCAGGGGCCGTCTGCGACCCGATCCGATCGGCCCAGCGGCTGGGCTCGACTGTCTCGACTGGCTCGACTTTCGTCGATTTTCCATGAAGAGAATCGCCGCCCACCAAACCACCCCAACCCAACCCGAAGGCCCCGATTTGTCCTCCATTTCCAGTCGGGGGGTCTGGGGGAACATGGAAAGAACTCACATGAAGCCCGTACCCCCCCAACCCGAAATTCGGGTCTTCGGGTTGGGTTGGGGTGGTCTGGTAGGTCGTCAGGGGAGGAGGGGAAGCCATGACTTCGAGCTCGGCGGGATCTCCACAGCGACGGCTGATTTGGGCGCCCTCGGGGCCGCACCGTGCTGGTCGCCCACTCTTCGCTTCGATCGATCGAGGCCTTCGTCCACCCTCCTCCCTCTTCTCCTCCTCCAGGCTCCTCCCTCCCTCTTCTCCTCCTCCAGGCTCCTCCCTCCGGCGCTCTCTGCTCCTCCCTCCCTTCATGCTTCTTCCTTAGTTTCCTCCCCTCTTCCTCCTCCTGGCCCTTCGCCTTTCTCCGTCTGCTCCTGCCACCCTCCCCTTTCTCCACTGCCCCAGTCGATCACATCACAAGGAAGATGTTTAGGGCGGCCCCTCTTTCGTGGGCTATGCTCATGGCGTGTTCGTGGGATTGTAGGGTTCTGTCAGGAGGAGGCGAAGGCGGAGGATAGGGTGTGATGGATGACGGGACCACGCAGTGAGAACGAAACTGGGGAATAGAGGGAGGGGGAGGTGGATGATGAGGTTTCGTGGACCTTTGAGGCCGTCATTGGCCGATGTGAGGCTTCTTGGAGGCATGTTCGGGCTTATCGAAGACGCCTACGGCGAGTTTTCGCCGCCCTTTGCCTTGTGGAAGCGCACATGCGGCCAAACGTTGGTCCAAATTCTGGCCAAGCTATTGGACCATGTGTTCCCCTGGCCGTTCCAGAACCCCTTGTTGGAACATTTCGGAGAGGATTAGGGAGAAGGAGGAGAGGGATGATGATGATGATGATGATGATGATGATGATGATGATGATGATGATGATGATGATGATGATGATGATGATGATGATGATGATGATGCTGATGATGATGATGATGATGCTGATGCTGATGCTGATGATGCTGATGCTGATGCTGATGATGCTGATGCTGATGCTGATGCTGATGCTGCTGCTGATGCTGATGCTGATGCTGCTGATGTGATGCTGATACTGATACTGATACTGATACTGATACTGATACTACTGATACTGATACTGATACTGATACTGATACTGATACTGATACTGATACTGATACTGATACTGATACTGATACTGATACTGATACTGATACTGATACTGATACTGATACTGATACTGATACTGATACTGATACTGATACTGATACTGATGCTGATGATGGTGATGGTGATGGTGGTGGTGGTGGTGATGATGTGATGCTGATGATGCTGATGATGCTGCTGCTGATGATGATGATGCTGATGATGATGAGGAGGAGGAGTTCTAAGGCCCTCATCGGGGCCTCCGGGGGCCTCTCAGGGACCTCTTTGCCTTCGGATGCCGTCTTTGGGCCCTCTCTGGGCAGTCGTGGGTCCCTCCTTGGGCGCTGTAAAGGGGGGGCTGCGCCGCCTTGCGGTTCGCGCGATCACCTTTGTCATCGTCACCATCGCCATCATGAGCATCACCGTCATCATGATCATCACCATTCTTTGGCCAGTGCCGACGATCCGGGGTGCTCCCGATGCAGGCTGATGCTAGTTTGTGGGGGCTGGCCATAGGCTGGCTGCTGACAGGTTGCAGTCGCCTCAGGTATTGTGTCTTCGATGGTATGTTTGCCTCGTGTCCGTCTGTCTAGCTTGTCGGCGGGCTAATAACTCGACGGGTTTGGCTCGTTGCTGGGTGGTTGCTCGCAGTCGCCCGCAGCGTCTTGGTCAGTCATGTGGTGGTCCAGAGCCCGGCACGTTGCCTGTAGAGCAGGATACACTTATGCGTACACGCACACCTATGATATTGAGGCGGGGGAGTGGGGTGGGGTGGGGGAGGGGCGGTTGGGCAGCAGCACGGGCACCAGGGACGGCAGCAGCACCAGCATCGCCATCATCCGAACCGTCGCAAACACCATCAGCGGGAGTGAAAGGGGAGGGGGTGGGGAGGAGCTGTTGACGCTTCGCGTACCCCACCAGCCCATCCAAAAACGATTCCGTTATCATTCGAATGAGAGTTGAGTGATCAGGGAAGTGTGGGAGCAAGGGAGGGGTCAGCTGTTATCGTTCGAATGAAGAGGATGGAGGAGGAAATGGGGGGCATCTTGGATACCCCAGGGGAACCTCTCGGGACCTCCTGGCATCCTCTTGGGGGGCATTCGGGGGCATCTTGGGGTCTCCTGGGCACTGGATCGCGAGCGGTGTTACCCGCGCGTCGGGGAGGAGAAGAGTTTGAGTGGCGCACAGGTTTGCGCCCTGCGCGACGTTTGACCAGATGCACCTGCGCCTGCCGACGGCTTTGGCCGCCGCATGCCTGGGCGGGTTTCGTTCGGGGAGTGGCGGACGGGGCGTGCTTGACATGGCCGGCCGCGCATGCGGTGCGAAAGAGAGCCGCTTTGATCGCGCGAGGCGCCGTCGAGTGCTCCGAGGAGTTCGGCGCGGCCGTGCCGCGCCGCCGCGGGCAAACCGCTGCTCGGCGCATCTCGGATGGAGCCGCCCGGGTGGCTTTGTCTTCTGCGACTGGCGCCGCGAGGAGCTTCCGCGATGCGTTGCCGGCGCTGCCGTCTGCGCCCGCAGCCGCGGGGGCTCGCGCGCGCGCGGGCCGCGAGGGCGTGGGGCCAGCGCGTTGCCCCCAAGGAGACTCGTGTTCCGTTCGGTGGCAATGGCGGAGAACAGGCGCAGCAGCTCCCAGCATCGATGATGCCTCGCCAAGTTTCCCGCGCGCGGTCCGATTGGCCGCAAGCGCAAAACAGCGGCGGCCCGAGGATCGGCCGGCAACGCGCCCTGCGGAACTCTTTGTAGCCACTGCCTCAGCCAGCGAACGGTCTGCTCGCGCGTTCTCAAGAGGAAATGGCATTGGGGCGCGCGCGTTTCAGCGGCTCCAGCACTTGCAGGGATTGCACGTGTTCGGCAGTTGCGAGGTCTTCGACGCCAGCGGCCCGACTACCTTACGAGCAGGGCTCTTTGCGCAACATTGCGGGAGACCGTCTTCATTCTCTCGACGTTTCCCCGAGGGACGTCGCCATGGCAGACGTTGTGTCCCTGCGTCCGCCGCGCGATAGCAAGCCTCACGTCCGCGTGGCGCTCTTGCGCTTGACTCGCTCGTGCGCGCAGGCGGTGCCCCCGGACCTCGGGCTTTATTTCGACCTGCTCGAGGGTGGCCCGTCTGTGAAGAGGTCGACAAACACCTTGAGGTTCCGCGCGCGCGCGCGTGGTGCCGCCGGCGGAGTGCATGGGCGTGCGCCCCCGGTGCCGACCACCCACCATCGCGGCTCTCTCGATCGCTCGCATGAGTGCCGGGGCTGGCGTCGATGCGGCGCCCTTGCAGGCTCGCGCGACGGGTTGCCCGATTGTCTGGCCTGCGGCGGCTAAGCGGCACATCGAAGAGACAGGTCGCCAAGCGACGCGCGCCGCGCGGCGAGGCCGGGGGCCGCGCGGCGCGAGACTGCCCCGTTTCGTCTTCGATTTTGCTCTTGCCGTGGCGCGCGGAATTCGGGAGCCACAAGTGCCGCGACTGCGGCGTTGACTTCCTGGTCGGCCCGCAGACGTCGCCGGCCAGTTTCCCGACGCGTTGCACCGCCGTGCCAAGAAGTCTGGCAAGGTGTGCGCATGGCCAAGCCCTTCTTGGTGCATTCAATGCAGCAGTGCAGCGGCACTATGCACGCGAGGTCTCTGAGGCGGCGCCTCGCCGCCGTTTGCGGCGCGGGCTTGCTGGCGGTGGCCGCCTCCGGCCTCGCGCCGTGGCGGTGCCTCCGTGCCGTTCCCAGCGTCGACGCGCTTCGCGGCGTCATGGCGCTCGCCTTGGAGTAGTGTTTGCCCCCTGTCGTTGCGCGCGTGAAGAGACGCGTCAACTGCTCTTCTAGGGCATTGCTGCGTTTCAATGGGAACTGCGATCTGGCGGCACGCGTCGCCGTGCAGGGCGAGGCCGGAGCGTGGGTCAGACCGTGCGCCGCGCTCCGCGGCGCGTGCTTGGTGGGCGGAGCGCTCGCAGACGTGCCGACGCCGATGGCGACGGAGGCGTTGCCCGATATCCTTGCGACCTGTCCCAGATAGTCCCCGGTATCATGGAGGATCGCTTGGGAGTTGGCTCAGGGCTCCTGGGCAGCGCCGTGGTGTGTCATCGCGCAGATTCTTACGTCGAGCACCGCGTCCGGCTCCGCCAGTTCTACAAACGCGCGTGCGCCGTTGTGGGTCTTCGCGCGGAGTCCGTGTCGCCCGGGGGCGACGCCGCTGGGGCCGCCGCTCGCGAGTTCGATGATGACGGGCCCGCGGTTGTGACTGGCGACCCTGTCCAGGACGTCTTCGCGTTCAACGGGGTGGTCATCGTCGCTGCCAATGACTCCTGCGCATTGCGCCGCGACCGCCGGGGCCTGATGGGGCGTCTTTTCGGGCCGCTGGCGGGCGTTGATTTGAGGGGGGGGGGCCGCCCGACCTTCCATCGGCGGGTCGCGCATTGCAGCTATCTGCCGCGCGCGACAGCCGCGTCGACTGCGAGCGGAAGTTCGACGCGGACTGGAACGGGAAGGGGGCGCTCCGCGAGGGCAGTGCCCAGCCCAACGTCTCGAACGCGAAAGCGTGGAAGCTGTTGTTCGGCGCGCGCCCCCCTCGTGGCGCCGTCGCGAGGGTGGCGCGGCGCGCAGGTGCGCAGGGCGCCCTGCATGCCGCCGTGGCATTCACGAGCTTCGTTTCCAAGAAGGAGTTCAAGAAGGAGGCGCGACGCGTGCGCCCCTGGCGCCGCCGGGGTAAGCGCGCGCCCGCGCGCCAGCTCGGAATTCTCCGGCGGCGCGGTTTATCGGCGGAGGCGAAGGGGATTGAGCGCGCGTGGACCGCCAAGCCGGCGGCCCATTACAGGGGGCTCCTCGCAAATCCTCGGTTCGAGGGCTTCTGGCAGCGGCGGTCCACGGCTGCGTCGATCAGTGAGAGCGGCGCGCCGATCCAGCGCGGAGCGCTCCCCGCCGAGCGGCCGTGGGCCTGCGAATGCAGATGATGCCCGCGGTCGCCAGGCGGCTGTCCGAGAGGCATTTCTACGTGCTCCGCTCCAGGCTGGCTTCAGAACGACAGTTTACTCGCGCAAGGGATCGATGCTCTCGCGACGAATGCCGCCGCCCTGGTTGACGGCGCCTCGGGGGCGGAGTGATGCGCCGGCTCTTCTTCGGCCCGCATGGTGATTTGGGCGGCCCGGGGCGAGCGAATATTGCAGGGCGGGGAGGGCTGCGTGCTCTCTTCAACCCGCTCGACTTGCTGGTCGGCGAGAGGCGCCTGTGTTGTCGCGCCATGCCGCGCGGCCCTCGGCGGCGAGAGCTTGTTTTTCCCAGCCCGCCCGGCTTGCAGGGTGGCGAGAGCCGCCTGCGCTGTCGGGCAATGCCGCGCGGCCTTCGGTGGCGGGGGCTGCCTATGTCCGTCGCGCGGCGGAGCCGCGCGCTGGGGCGGCGACAGCTGCCCGCGTCGTTGGGCGTTGTTGGGCGGCGAGAGCTGCCTCCGCGGAGTACCCCGGCGCCTGCGGGAAATCCTACCTGCAATCATGGCCCCGCCAGGTCTTGCTCGCCAGACTCTGCCCCGCCAGATTTTGATTCCCGCCGCATTTTGCCCGGCCAGCCATGGATGGTTCGCCGAGCGGCGCGCGGTCGCGCAGACGCCCCCGCCTCGGCCGCCCGCGCGCGGACGTGCTGAGCAGCGCGCCCCAGCGCGCGCGCGCTGCAGGAGCGCGTCGCGCGCGGCCGGGCCTCGCCCCCTCGCGCCAGCAGCGCCGCGGGGGCGATGGGCCGCCGAGAGTCCGCCCCGCGCCCGGGCAGCTGGCGCGGCGGCAGCCAGGCCAGCTGACTTGGCCGCCGAGATCTCTGGAGTGACGGCCCTGGCCCCCGAGGGGCGGAACTTGGCGGCCAGCAGGCGCCCTTTGGAGAGCTGCGGCAGGTGCGTCGACGACGTCGGGGTGCTGCTGGGCCCCCTGGGCCACGACGTCCGCAGGCCTCCGCCAGATGGGCCCCCTGATTTCCGATATCGCCTCGCGAAGTATTCGGCGGAGGCCGAGGAGTTGTGCGGCGACGAGCTGGGATCCGAGGGCGAAGTTGTGCGACAGCTTTTCGCCCGCCCAGCCGCCGCGCCCTGGTCGCGGGCCAGGGGTGCCTCGGGTGTTTTGCAGGGCCCCTTGCGGAAATTCCCTGGGCATTCCTTTGGTCGGGGGCGACCGAAATGGGTGCGGGAAGAATGGGTGCAAAGACCGATGAACGCGATTCGCTGTCCGCGCCTCCGCGGCCCGTGTCCATCTGAGACAGAAGGCCGCCTGTCAAACAGCGGCCGCTGTTGGTTCACGACAACATTTGGTGTTGGGCTTTGTGCCAATTCTTTCCGTGCGCATTTCAGGCGTCCAAATTTGGGCCCTATTCGGAGCGGGCCGGCGGCTTCGCCCCAGAGCTGTGGGGCGCCCCGCGGCCATCTCGGGCCCCTTTGGTCCGTCTGTAGCATGTGCCAATGCTTCCCAGTCGGGGCGGCCGCAGACGCGTCAGGCGCCTCCGGCGCGCGCCTGAGCGAGAGGCGGCGGATTCTCTCGGCGCGCGAGGCGGCCAGCCCCGACGCATGATCGCCCTTGGCGTCGGCCCGCGCAGCCGGGGCCGACGCCGCCGGCCAGGCGGCGGCGCCGCCGCCCCCCGAGGGCGACGGCGAGACCGAGAGCGTCGCCGAGTCGCCGTCCACCTTGGAGTCGCCCTCCGCCTCGGGCGCGCCGCCCCGCGCCGCGGGCGCGCCCCCCCGGGCGCCCTTGGACGCGCCCCCGCGGGCGCCCGGCACGGCGGGCAGCTGGCGCGGGGCCCCGCGGCAGATTTCGCGGGTTGCGTGGCAGCCCGTGCGGTTGCAGCGCGGCGGCCAGCGCGGCCGCAGTTGGAGCTAGCGCGGCAACTTGCGTGACCGCAGTGGAACAACTGCAACGCTGCAGCCCGCGTGGCGCGCGCTGCGGCGCGGCAGCCAGCGCCGCCCTGGGGCGCCCCGGCCTCCGTGCCCGCCCAAGGGCGCCCCGGCCCCGGCCGCGGTCCAGCAAGCGGCCCCCGGGGCGCCCCCGCCCCAGGGCGCCCCGGCCCCCGCCGCGTAGCGAGCTTATTAGAAAAGAAACGCAGGGAGGCTTCCGCAAAGAAGCGCGGCCTCCGGGGCGGAGGCGCGGGCGCCGCCGCTGCGGAGGGAATAGGGGCGGCGGCGCCGCGCTGGCTCCGGCGCCGCCGCGGAGGGCCCCCGAGCAGCTGCGGCCCCGCGCGGCGGAAGCTGCGCGGCCCTGCGCGGCGAAAGTTGCGCGGCCCCTCGATCGCAGAACAGTCTTCGACTCCTTGTCATCGCCCTCCCCACCTTTGAGCCCCTTCGTCTTTTCCTCTGACCGCAGGGGGCGTCGCCTGGGGGCGGGGAGGGGGGCGTTTCCTGGGGGCTAACTCCGGGTTGTCCGACTGCTGTGGCCCCAGTGCTACCGCCCTATCCACGCCTTTACTGCTAACCCCGCGTAGGCCCCATCCGAGAAAGGCGAAGACTGCGGCGGACACGAGCTGAGGGGGGCCGGGCGCGACGGTGACCCGAAGCGGGGGCGAGCCGACAAGCGACGTTCTTGGGTCCCTCCCCGATTTCTCTCGGGCCCGACGAGGGGCCCATCTTGGGCCCCTGCGAGGGCTCCAAGACGCCCCGAAGAGAGTTCCAAGAGGGCCTTGTGGGTGCTGCTACCTGGTGCTGCTGGTGTTGATGCTAGTGCTGATGCTGCTGGCCGTGGGGCGCTGGTGCTTGGGCTGCTTCTTTCCCCCGCGCCCGCAGAGGATTTGTTTGCTTTGGCGGGATTCCATGGGGAGCGAAGAGGGGCCGAGAGAGTGCTTTTGGCCTCTTCGAGCCTTGTTGGAGGATCCTTTCGAGCTCCCCGAGCGTCGGCCCGTCCTGCCTGGCAGGTCGCTTCTGCTTCTCCCGCGTTCTTCTTCTTCCCTCTTCCTCCACCCACTTCCCTCGTGTGCTCCTTGCCCGCGCTTTCGATGGTGATGGTCATGGTGGCGAGGGCGGTTTGCGTTGCGATGGTGGCGTTGCGGATGGGGGGGGTAATGGCGAGGGAGATGGTTGCGGCGGCGATGCTGGCTGCGGCGGTGGGTGTGCCCGGTCGTGCTCTGGGCCCGCGGCCTGCGCCGCAGCTCCCGTCGCGGCGGCAGCTGCGGGCGCCCCCCCCCCTCTCTCGGGGCCTTTTGGGTCTCCTCTCAAGGCCGCCGTCCTGGGTGCCATTCTCGTGGTGCCCTCTGCCCTCTCGAGCTCTTCTTGGGCCCACTCGTTAAGTGTAATGTCTGGACTGTCCCCTCCCTGCCCCCCCCAAGGGCTCGACGAGTTCGTTCGGTTTCTCCGTTTGGCCTCTCCCCATGGCCCGTCTCTGACGCTTCTAGGGGAGTTTTTGGAGGCGTCTCAGACCGTCTTGGGGCTCTCTGGGCAAGGTGGTGGGGGGGTTGAAAGGCGCGGAACATTCGTCTGTGCACCTAGAGCCCCTTGTCTACATATCAAGCATCTTTCAGGTTTTTTCCTTGTCTCTCAGCACGAAATCGCCGATGGCGTCGGATGACGAACTTCCGACTGGGGACGGTCGACGCCGAGACGCTTCTGCAACGTCGGCGAAACCGCCCGGAACGCTCGCCCCGCCGTAAGTCGTTTTCATCACGAACACGCGCACGGTCTGACACCTATTCGCCAAAATATGAAAAATGCATCATCTTTCTTTTGCCACTGCGGTTTGCGCCAGGTCATTGAGCATGCGGTGCTAACCACTTGGGATACTTGAGCGTTCGCAGGGCTTCGTGCTTCCCGTATGAGACTGCCGGGAAGGCAGGTCGAGAGGAGGAGGAGGAGGAGGAGGAGGAGGAGGAGGAGGAGGAGGAGGAGGAGGAGGAGGAGGAGGAGGAGGAGGAGGAGGAGGAGGAGGAGGAGGAGGAGGAGGAGGAGGAGGAGGAGGAGGAGGAGGAGGAGGAGGAAGAGGAGGAGGAGGAGGAGGGGGAGGAGGAGGAAGAGAGGGAAGAGGAGGAGGAGGAGGAACTTCCATTCCGCGGGGGGCTGACTCAAACAGCTCGGCGGTTCGTGGCGGGTGGCGTCGGCGCGGCTTTGTCGCACCCGGCGGACACGTTGAAGACGAGGCTTCAAGGCGGCTTGTTCCCGTGGGGTCTGGCCGGCGCGCCTGCGCGGCCACAGGACGGACCTGGGAAGCGGGTGGGGGAAGGAGGAAGGGACGATGTCGTCGTCGAACGTCGTGTGAAGCGTCACGCTCTTCTCGCTCGGTGGGGATGGGCTGGGTATCGCGAGTGCCACTTCCGCAACCACCCATCCCAGTCTCAAAGGGGCAAACCGAAATGCGCTGACTGTACAACGGACACCACAAATTCGTGGGGGCTAGTCACGAATGCAGGCATCAGAAAGAAAGCAACAGGGGAAGCTGACAGGGCCAGATTCGAAAGCAGCTCGACTGAATATCCTGAATCCTGAAAAGCCGCAGCCCGACAGGCGAGGGAGGTTCGAGAGGAGGACGATGAGTGAGGAGGGGGAGGAGGAGGGGGGGACCAGAGTTACCAGAGCAAACCTAAGAAGCACCAGCGGTGCTGCAACACAGTCCCGTCCCAGCTCCCCTCAAACGTCCCTGAAGGTATTCTTTGTCTGTACGGGAGGCGGTTCTTCGAAGCGTGCTCGCCCCATGCGCCTGCCGTTCAGGCAGGAGCCCCGTATTGAAAAGAAACTGCCCTCTATCCGTCTAGCCATAGGGACTGTCAAGAGGTAGGACCATAAAGTTCAAGGTTGTGTCCAGCAGTAACCCCTTTTCAATAGGAGCCGCGCTCAGTCAGTGTAACTGTGACTGGGTCGCGCATCCGTGGCCATAACATGTGAGGAGGCCCGTCGAACACCACAGTTTTCGAAAGGAGCCGCCTTCCCTCCGTGCGGCTGTTGCATGCTGACAACGGGCCGCCGTGTTTCCGTGTAATCGTTGGGAACTTCTCAGACGAGTATGCGCGGCGCTGACCTGTCAATCTCCAGATTTGGAACATTGTTTGCCCTGTAGCTGTGAGAATGTTCAAGCGCCGAGGAGTCTCAAGCGACACGCCCCTCGATTGTCGACGCGTCTGGTGGTGCGATGAGGAGAGTCGTTTTCCATATCTCGTATGCCGGAAACCCGTCCCTGGGGGCCCCGGGGCACACGACCACCAGGGGCTACCGGAGTACATCACAAGTGGCCTCATGATGGCGTCGAGCCACCCCCGAACAGCGTCGAGGGGTCCTCCGACGACCGCAGAGTCGCCTCAAGCGACCCCCAGTGCGGTTTCGTTACATGTTCTCGCGGGCTTCACTACTCCAAGACGGCGGCCCAAGAGGCCCGCCCCCACGAACTCCCACAACTGGCCCAGGAGGCTACCAAGACAAATTCCAGACGGCCCAAGGGGGCCAGACCTGAGGCCACGAAGGCGGCCCCAGAAACCTCCAAGAGTGCCGCAGTCCGCGTACGAGTGCGGCTAGCCTGAAGTCGGGCCTGTCCCTCCACAGGAGGAAGATTTAAAAATAGTCCAAAAATTAGTCTGGAAACTATTGTTCCATGTTTTTTGAGCATTTTGGGTGTATTTTTTGAGTATTTTTGATTTTTCGCCCAAAATCTCCCTGTTGGGGGACAGGCCCGACCTAAGGCTAGCCAGCCCCCTGGGCGGCCCAAGAGATCACTGGATAACCCGATCGCCAGATCACCGGATCACCAGATCACCAGATCACTGGATTACTGGACCATCGGATCATTGGATAACCTGCTGTGTGAGGTCTGCTCTGATTTTGAGACTGGACCGCCCCCAATGCGTGAAACTCTTGCAATTTCAAAACGGAGGTGCGCCGCGCTAAGGCGCGAGCCGCATTTTGAAGACGGCCCGCCCTCAATCAGTGAAGCCCTTGCTAATCTGAAAAAAACGAAGGTGCGCGGCGCTAAGGCGAGAGTCACATATTGAGAACGAGCCGCCCCGAATCTGTGAAGCTCTCTCAAATGTTTAAGGCGAGTGTGCGCGGCGCCAAGGCGAGAGCCACATTAAAAAACGGCCCGCCGTCAGAGTGTTTTTGTTGTTGTTGTTGTTGTTGTTGTTGTTGTTGTTGTTGTTGTTGTTTTTTTTGGCTGTAATGTTAGAAACGAATGTGCGCGGCGCCAACGCGAGAGCCACATTTTGATCTCCACCCGCCCTAGATCCGTGAAGCTCCTGCAGATTTTGAAAACGAACGAGCGCGGAGCTAAGGCAAGAGCCACATCTTGAAAACCACCCGCCCTCCATTTGTGAAAGTGTTGCCAATGTTCTCCCGGGACATCAACGGTGAGAAAGTATCCGGCGAAACGACCAGCGCGCCCTTTCGACCAGCCTCGGGGTGCGTCAGGGATGAGCTAGTTGTAAAGAAAATGAATGGAGGAGGAGGAGGAGGAGGAGGAGGAGGAGGAGGAGGAGGAGGAGGAGGAGGAGGAGGAGGAGGAGGAGGAGGAGGAGCGAGGACGAGGACGAGCAGGGTCACCAAAACAGAGCCCATATACCCTCCTGGATTTCCCCCCCCTGTGGCCCACGACATTTTTGACCTCTTCGGAGCCTCCTGGGCCTCCCCCCGCCGCTCAAACAGCTCTGGAGGCTGCCGAAAACCGACCAGAGTTGCCTGACAGGGCCGACGACGCCCGAATAAGACGGGCCAAGAGGCCCCGAAGACGTCCTAAGAATGCTCCAAGATCCGCCCCGAGAGGGTCCCAGGAGGCCGAAATTATTTCGTCCCTTGAGCAAGCAATTTGTGTGGCGACAGACCCATCCTTGTGCAGTCACGTGCAGCGCATGGCGCGGGTCTTTCTTCATACGCTGCGCGCCGCGGGGCAATGCGGAAAGATGGCTGCTGCTGAGCACGCGTGCACGGGTGCGCTGAATTCCTCGTGGGGCGCGATCCGCGTGAAGGGTGCAGTAACCGCACAATTCGGATGCCTCAGCGCGAACACGCCCACGGATGGATGCCGCAGGTGGGCCTCCGGGGCACGACCCGTGCGAGGCATATTCCGAACTGGGCGGGGGGACGCCGTGCGAAGCTGCCCATTTTGGTGCCACGGGCGGAACTCCTTCTATAGGGAGCGAGTCGCGCGGGGCGTGCCGACCTCGGCGGGGGGGCGCAGTGCGAGCCCCCGCCTCTGGGGCCGTAAGTGGAGATCCCTCTGGGCCACACTCCTGTGGAACTTCTCGCTCTTATTCGCAACTTAATCATGCACGGACTTTTCTTTTACAAAAATTCTTTTTTCTTTTCATTGGCCAGTAGAAATTCATGGGCCAATAATGAAAAGAAAATAAGATTTTGTAAAAGAAATGCATCAGGAGATCACGAGTTCATATTTTTCTTTCATTTGTTATCAAACAAATGTTGAAAGAAAGAAAAATAGACTCGTGATCGTATTCGAATGTGGGGGGGGGCGGGATCGAACCTTGTCTCTGGGGCCGTCCCTGGAATTGTTTGCGGGCCACGATCCGCATGAGGCTGGGTGCCAAAGTGAGCTGGGCGACGCTAGGAAGCTTCCCTCTCGTGCTACATTTGTGGGGCACGGTCCGCCTGAGGGGCGTGCCATTTTGCGAACCTCGTCTCTGGGGACGTGGGTGGAGCTCCCTGTGGGGCGCGATCCTTGTGAGGTGTGCCGGCATGGGCGGGGGGACGCTGAGCCAAGCCTGTCTCTGGGGCCGCAGGTGAATCACCCTGAGGGGCACGACCCGTGGGACAATATATGTCCTCCTATGCCGAGCACTTTATACAACTAGAGCATGCCAGAGCCTAAGTGCGCGCGAAGCGCGCGCGCGGGGCTAGTGAGCGTACATATGCATATATGTATGTGTGCATATATATATATATATATATATACAGTTATATACATGTACATGCTTATATACAGGCATACATACATAGTACATACATATACACAGCATCTACACATTCCCTGTTCTAGATATGTTTACAGATCTGCCCGGGAAAACCCGCCCCCCCCAAAACGGTATCCCGTGGATCCGTGGCAACAGGGACCCACTTGACGCTTCTGCAGAATGTTCAAGACGGCCCAACAGGGCCCCAAGATGGCCCGACGAGAGCTGGCCCAAAATGGCCCCAAGACGTAATTCCAAATCGTGACCCGGTCGTTCAGGGAGATCTCGATTGCAAGCAGGGTGTCCCGAGGAAGTCCCCAGAGGCCCCCAGAAGGAACCCGTGAGGCTTCCAGAAGGCCCCAAGAAGCCGTCCAAGAGGCTTCCAAGAAACTCCAGGGATACGCCTCCGCAAAAGGAGCTAAAGAGGATGGAGACGAATTCGCAGAGTAGACAGAGAATGAGGAAGAGGAAGAGGGAACATTAGGGAAGGATAATGCGCCACATTAGTATAAAGACGATGTCGGAAGCAACAAGGAGTTGTCGCTAAATGCTTTGTTGTACCTTGCTGCCCTTCCGCCTGCATCACAAGCATCAAGGACCAAGATGCGTGCCGCGAATGAACTATGCAGTCTTGTATCTCGTTATAAACGTTGAGTGTTTGTGTAAGCGTGCATGTATGCATGTACGCACGCATGTATGCATGTATGCATGTATACATGAAGCAAGGACGGACACACTTAGCCTTGCGAAGGGCCCAACCCTATGCAGCTGGGTGTAGCGCCGGGCAAGGCCCTCTCTTCACAGAGTTCACGCCGTGGGGCCGTGCGGATAGGGGGCTGCTGCGCAGCTAGTGCGCAGGGGTGCTGACATAATCCCCTGTGATGCACGATCCGCGCGACGGGGGTGGCTCCCACGCGAAAACGCTCCTGGCGAGGCCCCAGGTGGAGTTTCCTGTGGGGCACGATCCACGTGATGTGTGCGCCGAAGTGGGCGTGGGGACGTCATGCGAACTTGCCCACTGTGGTGCCATAGGTCAGCTCATCGTGGGCCACGCTCCGCGTCAGGAAGGTGCCGAGGTGTGTGTGTGTGTGTGTGTGTGTGTGCGTGTGTGCTTGTGTTTGTGTGTATGGGGGGGTGGGACGCCACGCGAACTGTCCCCCTCCGGGGCCGTCGGAGCTCTCCACTGTCCCTGCCTTCCTCCACTCTCCTTGTTCCCTCACCTTCCCCCCCCTCTCCTGCCTCCTGGATGCACCCTCGTTCACATCCCCCTTGCTCCGTTCCTGCCTTCATCTCCTCCTCCCTCCCCTCCTGCCCCCCCTCCCTCCTGCCTTCATGCCTCCCACCACCTCATTTGTGGTTGGACCAGCTGGAGAGACGTGAGGCAGAGGACGAAAAGGCCGGGCTGCCGCCTGGACCGCCGTCCGTGAAAGGTCAGTGGCCGCGCGTCCGGGCTCTGCCAGCTGAGGGAACGGGTGCCTGGCGTGACCGAGAGGAATCTCGGTGGAGGAGGCGCTGTTGGTCGATGGGGCCAACGCAAAGATCGAGGAGGATTGGGCCATCTCCTCCGGGCTCGATGGCAGCGGTGCGAAGGTGGGGATGCTCGATTAGATGGGATGGGCGGCTCTCGGGCTTCGCGATTTGGCGCCGCAGCAGTGAATCTGAGGAAGCGGGCTCGATGGGGCAATGTGGCCGCGTTCGCGGTGCCCAGAAGCTTCCTCCCTTCTAGTTCAATGTTCAATCGAGCGGGCTGCAAAGGAGCCCCTTGCCGACGAGCAGTTGCGCCAGGTTCATGCGCGGGCAAGGGTGCCCGTGGCAGACAGCTGGCAGGCAAGGGTGCCCGTGGCAAGGGAGCCGCCTGCCGACGAACAGTGGCAGGCTGACGGCTGACGGTGGCCAGAGCGAGCACGCCGCGGACGTACAGGCCGTGCATGCCTGCGCCTCTCAGCACGGCCTGATCTTGGATTTCCCTTCGCAGCGATGGCGACGCGCCTCGGCACGCGGTGCTCTCGTTTACCCCCCGTGCCCCTTCATCAGGCCATCAATACAGTGGAGGCCCATGCCAAGAAACACCCTGCTTGCCTCTGCGGTGCCATGGTTTGCCTGGTTTTCGATGGCTTTGTTATGGGAAGCGCGACGTTCCCACACCAAAAATCAATGGACGTCCTGGTGTCTCAGGGTTGTGTGTCTTGCACAAGGTTTCTTCTGGTCAAGCCCCAACTGTAGCACGAGGATTGGCTGGCAGTCGTGTCCATGCCCGCTCTGATCGCCCTGGCTGCCAGCGGAGGGTGATGGGGGCCCCTGCCCCCACCTCCTCGTATTGGAGGGTATGGGCAACCGCAACCAGTGGGGCGGTGATGGATGGCTGGACAGGGTTGGGGGAGAGAGAGAGAGAGAGAGAGAGATAGAAAGAGAGAGAGAGAGAGAACAAAAACACAACAACACAAAAACGAGAAAGAGAGAGAGAGAGAGAGAGCGAGAGAGAAATTTGGGAGGGGGAGAGTTGGTTGGGAAGGCACGTGGGGAAGGACAACACTGTGATGCAGAAGCTGGCGCAGATGCGTGCCACGAACTCCCTGTGGCCCCAGCTCTACGCCGGCTTCGTGCCGCGCCTCTTCCGCATAGGCACCCTCGCCCGCCTTACCTCCAGCGGGGCGAAATAAGACAGGAGGAGGATGAGGATGAGGATTAGGACGAGCATGAAGATGAAGAGTTGGAGGAGGAGTTGGAGGAGGAGTTGGAGGAGGAGGAGGAGGAGGAGGAGGAGGAGGAGAAGGAGGAGGAGTGGGAGGGGGGCATGGGGGGTGGTAGGGGAAGGAGGGAAACGAAGAGAAGGGGGGAAGGAGGACGAGGATGTGGCTGCCCATGCTTTTCCCACTTCCCTCCTCTCTCCATCATCCACCCTCCCTCCTCTCCTCCCTCCTTTCTCGTCTCCGTGCTAATCGTTCCCCCGCTCTCTCATCGCTCGTCTTCCCTCCTTAATTCCTCCCACTTCCTTCCCTTCTCTGGCGGGGCTTTAGGAGCTGCCGCTGCCTCGCCCTCGTGGGCAGGCTGGCCGCGGCGACGGCGTTGGCCCGACTTGGGCCAGGCGCCCGAGGCCCACCAGCCCTCGGCGTCGGGCGGCGTGGCCGCGGCCCAGACGCCGCGTTGCTCGGACGCCCACGGAGACTGTTCAATTTCCATGAACTTGCCGCGTCCGCAGCAGCGCTCCCTGCCTGCCCACCAGCCTAATCTCCCGACTGGCCGCGCTGATTAGGTTCACGCTTGTGGCGAGAAGGATATCGTGCAGGCTGGGGCTGAGTCTGACGAGCACCGTTGGTCACGTACTTTTGTTTTTAGGGAGCTCGCTCACCGCGCGCGACCTCCATCGGGCCCTGACGGGATCGCTGACAACAGAAATGCCCATGTCCACGTGTAGTCGCAGGAGATGCATTTTGCGAAGCGGTCGGTGCCTTGGACCATGGGAACGACAGGGTGCTGCCCAAAGTCCTGCAGGAGCTCACGAAAGATACGCGTCCGCACACCTGGTGCTCGGATCCACATCTGGGCTGGCAGGCCGAAAGTTGAAGACCTGCTCGGGAAACAGAGTTATCCCGTGCTGGCACGGAGGAGCGGCCCCCCCCCCGTGCGAGAGTCTTGAGCCATAGTGGCAACGGCCAAGAAGTTCTTGGCCATTCCGCAGGCTCCGCCTGTCAAGGCCTGCGATCCCTCGCAGCCTTGGCAGCGGAGCGGCGCGCCCAGCAGGCGCTGGATCGCGCGGCCGAGTCCTAGCGGAACGCGGCCCCATGGCTCGCGGAGAGCCAGAAGGCCGCAGAGGACGCTGCGCTCGGGGTGGCCAAGGCCGCGCGCGAGGCGGAGCTGGCCTTTGCCGGGCGCCAGAAGCAGGGGGGGCTCCCCCGACCGTGGCCGCCGGCTGCGGGTGCCGCCTTCAACTTCGCCGACACGGACCTCGTCTTCGACCTCTCGGAGGTGGAGTCGCCTCCGAGGAGCGCGACAAACTCCTCGACTTGCAGCATCGGCTCGCGCAGTATTTCAAAGGCAAGGTCAAGCGCAAGACCTGAGTGAGCAACTGCTCGTGGCGGTTCGACTCCGCCTGCCACGCCCCGTCCGCCTTCTTGACGGCCTCGACGTCGGACTGGGACTCAGCCTCGGACGCCAGCTCCTCGAGATGTGTCCGCTGCGCCTACAGGGCGGCATGCATCTCCGCGTCCATCGACGGGCTTAATACTTCCTGAAGCAAGGCATCGTGCTACTTCGCGGACTTCGTGGCCTTGCGCCGCGGGCTCAGCCAACAGCTTATGCGGGGTGTCCAAAGCCGACTCGACGTCGTCCTTGAATCTCGCCAGCTTTGGCGAGTGTGCGGAAGAGCTTGAGCTTCTGATAGCAGTGATTGCACCGACATCCCTGGGCTTGCAGCTTGTCGTTGTATTCGCATGCTTGCCAACTCTTGCAGCGGGTCCACGTGAGAAACTCCTGACGTGTTATCTCACACCTTGGGACTGGGGTGCCCCGATGGGAGGAGGCGGCGGACAGTCCATGCGGTCGAGCGGAGGTCTGACCCGCGCTCTCAGGTAGATCGTGTGCCTTCACGCAGGAGGCTGGTCAATGCTTGGGTTCGGCAGCCCCGAGACGTGGATTGCTGTAGAGTGCGTCGGAGGGGAAGAGAGTGAAAACGAGCAGGACGTGGGCAACGAGCAGGACGACGAGAAAGAGGAAGAAGGAGGGAGCAGGTTAAGAGGGAGAGGGAGCAGGGAGGGGAGGGGAGCGTGAGGGGAAACATCAGATTCACCGTTCTGCCCTCGACCATGTGGCCCTGACCTGCCCCGAGATTCAGTGACGAGGCCGAGCACGGGAGCCTGCCGAGTGCCTTGCTGCGCCCCGAGCCCATGACGAGTCGCGTCTCGTCTTTCAGTACAAGTCGGGAAACAGCCCCAGACGTCGACATTGAAAAGGGCAAAAGGAGAGACGCGACCCAACCAGGGTGGGATGATGATGCTGAGGAGGAGGAGGATAAGGATGATGATGACGACGACGACGACGACGATGATGATGATGATGATGATGATGATGATGATGATGATGATGATGATGATGCTGATGCTGATGCTGATGCTGATGATGATGCTGATGCTGGTGCTGATGATGATGCTGATGATGATGATGCTGATGTTGCTGATGATCATGATGCTGATGATGCTGATGATGATGATGCTGATGATGCTGATGCTGATGATGATGATGCTGATGATGATGATGATGAGGATGATACTGATGATGATGACGATGATGACGCTGATGATGATGATGATGATGCTGATGATGTTTATGATGATGCTGATGCTGATGCTGCTGATGATGATGATGATGATGATGATGATGATGATGACGATGATGATGATGATGATGATGATGCTGCTGCTGATGACGATGATGCTGCTGCTGATGATGATGATGATGGTGGTGGTGGTGATGATGATGATGATGATGATGCTGATGATGATGATGATGATGCTGATGATGATGATGATGATGATGATGATGATGATGATGATGATGATGATGATGATGATGATGATGATGACGATGCTGCTGCTGATGATGATGATGATGATGATGAGGAGGAGGAGGAGGAGGAGGAGGAGGAGGAGCAGCAGAGGGAGGATCAATAGGCCAGGACGTCATGGCTGTTGTGGTGCCGAGGTCTTCAGCGCTGTTTCTCTGAATGGTGTAGCCCACTTCTGTCTCGTCTCCCCTCGTTGTTGCCCCCACCCTCCTCCCAAAGTGTGCTGCACCTTCATCTACGGCTCCCTCAAAGAGGTCTTCGAGGGCCTGGCTGTTGCGAGACTGTGCCAGCGCCCGAAGGACTGGCGTTCCCTCTCCTCTACTGCCGTCCACCCAGAGGGAGGAGTGAGGAGATGGGCAGAGGGTATGGGGCCCAGGATGGGGGAGGGCTGGGGGCTGGGGGCATCCTGGGGGCTTCTTGCGGCCATCGTGGAGGAAATCGATCAAAGAAGAGGGGGGCTTTAATTAGCCCTGCCCCCTCAGAATGCCAAAATGGGGCCAAAACCCTGCTAAAATCAATGATTTTGGTTTCCTCGCCGAAGCCGTTTTGGACGCTCTGACCGCCCCCCGCCCCTCCTGTCCAGGTCAGTGGGGAGAGGGTATAGTCAGCCCGCGTCGTAAGGATGAGTGTCTTTCCAATGCTGCCCTTGCATCCTTCCCCTTCGGCCCATCCTTGGCCGATTTCGCGGGCCGCGCCCCGCTCGCAACGTGTCGGCATGGCCTTCCAAGGCCCCTGCATCCTCATCGTGCGTCCTGCTTCTGCGGGCTGGCTGTGGTGGCCGGGAAGGGGGAGGGCTGGGGGCAGGTGGGGGCCAGCGCCTGCAGTGGCACACGGCGGGGGCTCCTGGCCCGCGGGGGGGGGGGGGGGGGCAGGAACGGCCCTGCCCGCGGCACGGGACCCCGGGACCCGCCGACGCACGGACGGCCTCGTCGGAGGCGCGGGCCGCGTGGCTTCGTGCCGCCCAGCGGCCGAGCGCAGCCCGAGAAGGGAGCTGGGCACTGCCCTTCGAGCAACGGCACAGAAGGTACCCGCCGGGCACTCGGCAGGGGGGCCAGCATCCGCCACCCCAGGGAAGGGGGGCAAAACGGTGCCGCTGAGGGAGTTCTTCTCCCACGGAGTGCCAGACGAGGCGCGATCAGTGTCTTGCGGCAAGCTTGGGAGCTTGTGGATAGTGCAGGAGAACGGTTTGCGGAAACGCCCAGTGACCTGGGCTGGCTCGGCAGGGTGAGTGTGGAGCAGCGGCGAAGGCGGCATCCCGCGCTGCGCCCCAGGGTGAGCTGTGGGGGTCTTGCTGGGAGCCGGCGCCTCGGGTTGGGTGCTCGGCTGGGCGCCGCCGCAGCGGTGGCGAAGAGGTGGCGTCGTCGTCGGCGTCGTCGGCGTCGTCGTCGTTGGCGTCGTCGGCGTCAGCAACACGATCAAGAAAAACTTCCGACGGCCATGCGTCCAAATAAAAACCACGATGTTCAGATCGGCATGGACTGCGTTGCCCTTCCGTCCCCCCCATCTTGGCAAGTAAAACTGCACGCTCATTGCCAATGCACCCGTCGTGGCCTCGTCTCCAGGACGGGGCCCCGACGACATATACCAAGCGGATCTCCGCCCACAGAGTTTGTAGCAAGATGGCCAGCGCGATGTTGTGCTTCAGCTTGAACTTGCCCTCAATGACTCCTATCACATACAACGCGTCAAAAAATATCTGGACCTGGCTACCTCGAGGCACGGAGGCTTCCTCCACAGGCAAACGAGCCTGATTCAACAGCCAAAGACAAATCTCGATGGCACCCGTAAGCTCTGCAACACCGTTCGTGCGCCTGACGGCTCCCAGGAACGCTTCAGACTCCTCGGTAATTCGCACTGGCCCACATCTCTGTACGATCGGCTCGTCATTTGCCGACGGCTCCGTGGACGTGTAGACGGCGAAGCCGTAACCACAATGAGCATGATTGTGTTGTAAACGCCGTCGTTTGTGCCGGTACCTGTCAGCCTGCTCGTCGACGAAGGAGCCATCTGAGTAGATCCCGAAAACGTCCTGACCGCGCAATTCTCGTTCCCGGCGAGGGGCGTGGAGCTCAAGCGCCTCATTCACTAGGTTCTCCATCTCGGCGCGGTCACGGCACCTCCACCCAACAGGTTTGCGGACGGGATCTGTTTCCACGAATTCCTCCATGGCAGCTGTCTCCAAGTCTTCCACCGTGCCGACCGACAGGTGCAAAAGGACCGGCCGGTGATCGGATGTCGTGGCCTCGGACCCGGTGGCGTGACACTTGTCGAGTCGGTGTTTCGACATGCGCGTAAGAATAAAATCGATTTGCTTCGGCTGTTGCTTAAAATTGTAAAAACAAGTAGAATAACCACCACCACTTCTTTCCATAGTGTTCTGTGCTACCAACGAATGCTGCACAAGGAATCGATGAAATAATCGTGCCTTCCACTCCACATCAAAATCTAAGTCGATTGCTGGATCCCCGTCGTCAGTAGTGTAAGCCCCAACCAAGAGACCAGACGGATCCACACCACGCAGACTACAATTACCATCAACACCACATATGATCTCCACGTCATCCGGCGCTCCATTCAACACAAACGTCAAGTCATCTAGGGATTCGAGATACTTTGGCCTGCTCTCCGTAGGATCCAAATGCCCCGAAACTAGAAAGATACGCCCACGCACAGGATGATGAAAGAGAAGACCT